TCTATCTATCTATCTATCTATCTATCTATCTATCTATCTATCTATCTATCTATCTATCCTATCTATCTGTCTATCCACCCATCCATGCATCTATCTGTCTGTCTGTCTATCTATCTATCTATCTATCTATCTATCTATCTATCTATCTATCTATCTATTCATCCATGTATTTAATTATTGATCTGTTGATTGATCTATCTATACATGGATAGACATAGACAGATAATGTATCCATCCATCCATCCATCTCTCTCTCTCTCCATCCATCCTTGTATCTATCTATCTATTTATCTATCTATCCTATCTATGTATCCACCCATCCATGCATCTATCTATCTATCTATCTATCTATCTATCTATCTATCTATCTATCTATCTATCCATCCATCCATCCATCCATCCATCCATCCATCCATCCATCCATCCATCTAGCTATCTTTCCATCCATGCATCTCTCTTTCCATCCATCCATGCATCTATCTATCTATCCGTCCATCCATCTGTTCTTCGGTATTTATTTATTTATCTACCTATTTATCAATCTCCTTGTCTAGTTATTTATCAAAATAGATAGAAAACATTGCACCTACCTCCAAATACCTCTACATATTACCTGTCAGGCTCAGCACTTTTAAATTTTGTCCATTATATTTGGCCCGGCCTCTAGGTTTTTATTGTGTCACGGTGTCATTGTTTTACTGTTTTATTGTTGCTTGATGTTTTATTATTTGCTTATGAGTTTTGACTGTGTATTGTATGTTGTTGTTGGCGGCGGCCTTGGCCTTTGTAAGCTGCATCAAGTCCTTCGGGAGATTTTGCGGGGTATAAATAAAGTTAATAATAATAAATAATAAAATGATAGATAGATAGATAGATAGATGCATAAGCAGGACGGTCCGACTTCCCTGCCTGGGGCTCCCTTCCTGTCTGGAGGCTGTGTAGGCTTCCTTCCAGGAAGCAGGAGGGTGGGCTTGATGGCAGCCCCTTCCCGCTGTCATTCCAGAGCCCCGAAGGCAGCTACGACCTGAACTCGGATGACCCGGACCCCATGCCCCACCCGGACGAGGAGAACGGCAACCACCATGGCACCCGCTGCGCCGGGGAGATCGCCGCTGTCTCCAACAACAGCTTCTGCGCCGTCGGAGTCGCCTATGGGAGCCGCATCGCAGGTACGCGCACTCTTGCCCGCCTGCCGGGGACCCCCAAAAAAGGCAACAGGAGACTGCTGTCCCTGCTTCGCACACCAGGGGGCAGCATCCCCCTTCCCCTTTCAATAGAGAATTCCCCCATAACACAAGCGGTAGCCCTTTTCTGCATACTCCAAACCCCTAATTCCACTATGTTAACTAAATTCAAAAAATATATTCTGTTCCCGGTTTGAAATTGTCTTCCCTGTTTAATTGTGCGGTCCTTACTTTGAAAGTCGTCGTTATACTCTGGAAACGTCATTGTTTTTGTGGCTGCCACAAACTAGGTTGAGTTAGTTGAGACTATGAGCTTATGCATTGAAAAACTAGAGCAAAATGTGCAATATCAGGATGCCCCTCGTGTAAAGAAAAAGCTTGGGCAGTTTAATACACTTTCCCCATGTGTTCATTATAGAATCGATTAGGAAATGACATTGATAACCCAGGAACAAACATCGTGTGACAAAGTGTGATTTGTGGGACGATGCCCATAACCACGGGCCATATCCATCTCTCTTTTGCTCATGTTTTTGGCTTGGTTGGGTCACTGCAGTGGATCGTTGTCCCTTCTGGATGTCTCTGGGCAAGCACTGGGGGGTCTCGCTTAGCCCGTGTCCCATTTGGGGGCCTTTCCCTGGCCGTGGGACCCATTCACCCCACTTCTTTCTGCCTCCGCAGGGATCCGGGTGCTGGACGGGCCGCTCACGGACAGCATGGAGGCCGTGGCTTTCAACAAGCATTACCAGATCAACGACATCTACAGCTGCAGGTCAGTCGGGGTTTCACTCAGCCGTTAAGACTCTCGCAATTTCAGCCTTGATTTTCTGGTCTGGTCGTCATCATCATAAGTGTTCAGCCATTGGGTTGGGGTGAAAAATAGTAATCACAATAATCATAAGCATAGGTGCACAGCCATTTGGTTGGGGTGAATGATAATAATAGTACTAATAGTAATAATAATAATAATAATAATAATAATAATAATAATAGTAATAGTAATAATAGGTGCTAACCCATTGGATTGGGGTTATTTATTTATCGTGTCATCCACAACCAGAACATTGTATTACATTTTTAACAGAACAAAACAAACAAACAGATTAAAAAAATACACAAATTTTGCAAACTTGGTAGCTGGTTAAATGTCCCTTGAGCAGTCTCTGGCCCCTTGGAGTGCCTCTGGTGTTGCCGCAAGGAGCTCCTCCTTTGTGCATCATGTGGCAGGGCTCAGGGTGCATTGCAGCAGGTGGTCAGTGGTTTGCTCTTCTCCACACTCGCATGTCGTGGACTCCATGTTGTGGCCCCATTTCTTAAGATTGGCTCTGCATCTTGTGGTGCCAGAGCACAGTCTGTTCAGCGGCTTCCAAGTCGCCCAGTCTTCTTCTGTGTGCCCAGGGGGGAGTCTCTCATTTGGTATCAGCCATTGGTTGAG